TGTGTCACAAGCTGAATATACATATATATATATTTGCGTGTGCGTGTGTGTGTGTCACAGGCTGAATATATATATAAACAAGTTCATTTATTATTTCAGCATGCTTACAAAAGTTTAGACGTGTATGTATCTATCTATCATAATGACGAAATATCTTCGCCACAGATTGCTGATTTTAGTCCAAAAAATGACCTAGTCACTCTTACACTTGCACGTAACCCACAAAAACAGATTGACAACGTCACAGTTTTCTATGAAATAGCCTCAGATCGTGACGTTACACATTTCTTAGTGAAATACCTTCTGTGAGATACTGTAAGCATAATTACTTAAAGCTAGTGATGTTACTGCTCTAATAATTAAAATTTTCTCCTAATAATTCTGAGGCAAGGCGTTAATGTTTCAGCAAAATTTGACCTTCCTCCGACTGTGATTCCAAGGTCATTCTGCCAAAACAATGTTCCGATTTGAACACATTCTTTTAAATTAACTGTTTTCATTCGAATTAAAGCATTGATTGAAAGTGGAGTTTTCAAGCTGAGTGGTACGTTAAATGCCCATGGGCTAAACAGGCAGATCAGAGACCCTTAATATTCAAGTATAGCCATCCTTAATTTTGAGCTATAGACCAGAGGGAAGGTAGACAGCCAGCAGAAACTTCTACCACAAGGGTCTTGTTTAGCTCTTTTGTGTGACGAACCCTGGTATTGGGCGAAAGGTCTCGTCGGCATTGGATATGACAGATATAGTAGAAAATTACACTTCACCAACGTTATCTATCCCACACCACAACAACAATTTGATAAGATAAATAGTAGGTCAACCACTAGTCTGTCTGTTGTGTTCCAGCCGCCCTAATGAGCCCTAGGATACGACACGAGATATAACAGATATAGTATGATTAGCACATTATTATACATTCTTTTTTTCTTTCACTCTTAAGTTATCATTATACTTTATAATGTGGTTACAACTGAAAACGTGAAGTTGTTCAACGGCAATATGTGTCGAACCCTGTATCTTCCGATCCGCAGCCCGGCACGCTATCCAAGAGATTATGCCTACTCTTAAAGTCTTAACGTTAGCATATATACTTACATAAATGTGATTCTCTTTAAACCTCTTCCGTAAGTTTTCAACGAATGCTTTTTCATTTCGGAAATCTTCAAGTAGTACATAGTCCTGTACCCCTACCCGGTCTCGGGTATGTAGAGCGTTCTCCATATTCTCCCACTGGTAAAACATAAACTAATATCAAACATCTAACACCCAGTTTATCTTATACTTCTTATTTCAAATTGAAATTCCAAGTACTAATGTACGAGAATCATTTTCAAAAATACTAAACTTTAAATATCTCCCATTACATATAGTTGTATTTTTGGAACATAAATTGGACCACAGAAATAATTCGAACAAAACAAATTTTAAGTGACTTCATTCA